GTAACAGTCATGATTTCTTATTAATACGAAAATTATTAATTAAATGAATTTTTATCTACCGACCTGAATTAACATATTTGAAAGGCATTACATTTCTTATTTCATATTTATAGAATAATTAATCTTCTCCGAAATTGTTGCTTTCGTTTATTTAATTTTGTTATTAATATCATCAGAGGTGCCCATCCCCCCTTCCTCTTCCAAGATATTTTATTGCTAACCTTTTCTTAAAAACAGAGCAAAGGAAAGTAGAATTAGAAAAATCGTAGGTCCATATACAATTACACTGCAGTCTGTTGCATGCTTCCCCATTGTCCCTTTTTTTTTAATTTTTCATTCAGAAAATTAATAATCCTATTAAAATGTACCCACTCAAAAATTTTGATGGCACAACTTGCGCCCCTCTGGACACCCATGACTACTCTAATATAGTAGTCCCCAGTACAGATTCCTTTTTATCAAATTTAGTCCAAATTTTGTTAACATTCATCCAATGCTTCCTGAATGTCTTCATCATACCGTAATCTACAACTTGTTATTTAAGAAAAATTTCAGAAAGGGTGCTTTTTCAGTCTAGAGATAAGTCTGGTAAACTGGTAAACGAATTTGCTTTCCACTTGTATCGCAAGATTATTTGATCCCAAAATTGAGAAAAAGGGTGGCAAAATAAATAGCCTCTTTGGCGTGACCTCCACCCTTTACATGTCAAAATAACGAGGTCATGTAGGCCAACCGTTTAATATATTTGAGGCCCACCTGTTTTATCGATTTTGTAGTCGTATTCGGTATTCGTGAGTTCTTTATACCTCATTAAATTAATGAGGAAACTTCGCATTTCTGAGAGCTTTCGTAGATAATAAAGATGTTGGTTACGATGCGATATGTTTAAACCATTCACGAAGTTTTAAATGGATATTAGTTATGTAAGAAAAAGGAGTCTTTACCGCAGACTATAGTGCACAGGTGATGAACCGCGGCCTGCATGTGGCCTCTGTGACGTAGTTGCAGCCTCCAAACGTTTTTGTGCAATAATTTATTAATTTAGTGCTTGAATTAATTAATATTTCATTATTTAAGTTACGACAATCCGGAAATTATGTCAAATGTATGTATGTGGGTGTGTATGTATTTAGTGATAAATAAAAATAGTAACGGTTAAATATAAAGAATTCTTGCTTCCATTAGCACTGCATAATCTTACTGCGGCCTCTAATGATAAAAAAGTTTCCCACCAATGCTATTTTAATTCTTTTTTATCAACTATTTTGACGTTCTCATTTGACTTGGATATTCACGATGGATGAAATTTTCTTTGCTTCTAATGCAATTATTCTGTTCTTGTTGCCTGGAGGTCTCTGGGAAAATTTCTTTTTATCCTATCTTCTGTAGTACCTGAAGAAGCAAGAAAATTATAAGGATTTGTTGATTCTGATTTTAAATATAAAATATGCTGTTTGTTGTTAATTTGTGTTCTGAAATAAATCCAGGTGAATTTACCATATTTCTAACACTTTTTGACTGCAGGATTAGTGATGTGTTTCGAAGAACTGGAGAATCCCTTCGAAGGTCCAGAAATATTTTGTTAATAACTAGTAAATTGAATGGAAATGTGTAGGCTATATGCGAAAGTTAGTAGTATGGTTCTTTTTTACTGAGGTTTGGATGTAAGATAATGATGATCCATGTTTTTATATACATCAGATTATAATTATTTAAATTCTAATCAACTATGATATTGATTCTAACCAGTTTACATATCTTTCTTTTTTCGATTTGGACATTCGTGGTTTAGCCCACACACACCTTTCTTAAACTAACTTCTTTTGGACAAACATGTTGCAGGGATCTGACTATACCTGGGGATTTTTTTAGTTTTAAACATATAACTAAATATAAATAACTTTACCCATGTAGAATCAATTCGATTTGGCCTCTACATATGGACAAATATATAAAATAATTGTATTCATATGTTTTCTCAGGGTTTCTCGTAAATAATTTAAAATTAATAGTACAAAATCCACCCACATTAGTTTCTCTCTTAGGAAAGCCTCATGTCCACCCATAACGATTGCCAATAATCCAGTGCCTTCAAAGAACTATGTACGGTACCTTGGACTCTACTTAGACAAAAGACTTACTTGGAACATACATACGAAATTAAAAAGACAAGAACTTACTAGACGATATAGCCAACTTTCACATCTTCTGGACTACAGATCTTCACTTAACTTACGAAACAAGCGACTTATCTACAACACCTTACTGAGACCAATATGGACATATGGAGCAGAACTTTGGGGTTCAGCAAAACAAACACACATAAACAAAATACAAACAGCACAATCAAAAATTATACGAAAAATTGTTAACGCACCTTGGTACATTTCAAACACTACTATACATAACGACTTAAACATCCCAACAGTAAAATCCTACATCCACGACAAATACACTACATTTCATTCTTCAACCCAAAATCACTCCAATCCCTCTGGTTCTTTCTATCTCCTGCTCCCTGTTACCTGAGCAACGAAGATTAAGAAGAAAATGGCCAAGAGACCTACTACATCAATAAAAAAAAGAAATCAAGCAATTAAACCAAGACAATAAAAATACAACAAATTTGCTAGATGCGCAGCTGCGCAGGTGCAAATTGCATAAAATAAAATAAATAAATAAATTTAAAATATTAAAAGAGATGCTGGTAGGCTTCAAATTCATAAAGACGGTGGTCGCATTCTCATGGACAAACAGGAAATTTAAATTATGTGATTTTTTTCGCCGAGTAAAGCAATAATTGAAAAATGATTTAATTTAATTGATCTTCGTTGCAGTATTGGAAATTATACAAAATATTATTTAGAATTCAGTAAAATTTGCCTGTGTTGAAATCATTCATAAGTGATTTTTAAGCGTCTGAATTACATAAACATACGTTTTTTATAAAATAATGGATTTTTTTATCCACCTCCTGGACTCCAAATTCCCCAATTTCAGAAAACCTATCTTGTTTAAAAAGCTTGAAGTTCATGTTATTTAAGTTCATGTTGCCTCCAGTTTTATGCAAAGATTATTGTGATATGGAGTTTTGTTTCCCCATATTTCAATGTTCTCAGTAAAAATTATTACAGAATTTGTTCTTTTCTTGATCAGGGTTCTACTGTACGTAATTTATTTCTAAAAACCACCATCATATACTAACGAGTATGTAAAAAAAATGTATAATGGTTATCTAAGATAGTTATTATTAAGATGTGGGCGGGGTGGCCGAATGGGCTAAAGCGTGTGCACAGCACCGCCGTTGCCCGGCAACCTGACATATGAATCTAATGATATAAAAGTCACGAGTTCGCGTCCCGGTGCCGGGGGAGTCTTTTAAATCCCCGCCCACACTCCCTGGCCCGGGAAAACCCCGTATAGCCTTAACGGCGAGGAAGGGGAGGACCCAAAAAAAAAAAATTGTTATTAAGATAAATAATGTTCAATGTGGTACAATCTAGTCATTTTTGTACAATTGTCAACTATAGGAATGATCCTTGGAATCAGATTACCAATTAAATGTTCCTTCTTATCTTTTAATCCTAATGCTAATATTTATGTTATCATTTAAATAATTCAAACTATAGACTAATTTAAGTTTAATATAAATATTGTGGTTAATATTTTCTTCTTTTTCCCACCTATTTCCTTTTCAGCGTGGATGCCTTGCGTTTCTGTCTCTGAAAGGTCCTAATTTCTTCCAAGGTCTTCCTTCTGTGTATCCCTATTAGTTCCATAAAGCTGAAACTGGAGGTTTTGGTTGCTCACTTTGTCTTGTTTCTATTGATCTCAATCTTTTTTATCTGGGCCAAGTTAAAAATCTGTCACCTTAAATAAATAGTGCTACAAAACTGGAGATGAATCTCAACTGTTTAAATAGATAGATAGATAGATAGAAAAAAAAACTTTATTCTGGGACTAAGTCCCTTCAGAATAACAATAATGTACAAAATAATAGAATAATACTGGCCTAAACGTTTGAAACAATAAATAAAATTGATAAAATAAAATGAAAAGTAAAGAAAACCTTAGGTGCACAAGCTATATACAAAACTATGTACAGAGCATTTAAAATTATGAATAAAACAATAAAAAATATGAACGAATCACTTGAACTATGAACAAAATTATATATAAGGGTTGAACAACATAAACATACACTTTGAGAAATGAAGAACGAAAAAGAGATACAATGAGTTCATTTCATAAAATAAAATAAAAAAACTTTACTTGAATATATATATAAAAATAAACAGTTAATTATAATTGAATAAAAAAAAAATGTATGTATTGAAATTCCTACGTCGATAGTAGGAAATGCATGTACTATCTCTTACCAAGTATTATGATTATATGATTGCTACACAATACATATATAATATTAATAGTTAGCTGGTATCTGACTGTTTTTGGAACAGGAATTGGAATAGGAGGTTTTTGAATGTGTATAGGGAAGGGGCATGTCGAATTTTGATCGGGAGGGAATTCCAAAAGTTGACAGAGCGGGCTATAAAGGAATTTTGGAATGAGGCAGATCTATGAGAAGGCATGTTGGTCAGAGGGTCGGGATCTTGTAGTGAGGGAATGGATTGAGGACTTAAATTGGAGAAGGTTGTAGGCATAAGAAGGACGATGATCGGTAATGATTTGATAAAGGAATTGCCTAGGAAATATTGTCTTCTTAAGGAGGGGAAGAGCCACTCTAACTCCGTGTAGTGGTGGGAGACACGGGAGCGTCTCGGGGTCCCAATTACAAATCTTACGAAGCTATTCATAAGTCTTTTGAGTCGATCACGGAGTTCCACCGAGAGGCCATTGTACACCACACAGCTGTAATCAAAGTTGGGAAAGATGAGAGAGGAAACTAGGGGTCTACGGGTATTTTGGGGTAGAAGATGGCGGAAGTGATGGAATAGTTTGAGGGTAGAAATTGCACGGCGGGAGATATGAGAGATATG